TCTGCGCAGCACCGTGCGTCCCCAGCCCCGGCCCGCAGGCCTGCGCTGCCCACCTGGTCGCGAACACCCGGCTGAGCTCGTCCAGGACGTTGTTCAGTTTCACTTGCAGCTCCTTCAGGATGTTGCTGGCCTCGGCGTCGAGCTGAGAGGGAGAGACCGGGCTGGGTTAGCGGGGCGTCCAGAGTCCTGGGTATCGTAACGTCTGACCCCAGGCCGGGATCTCGGGGGCTGCAGCCTGGCCCTGTGGTTGTTCACGTAGCTCGGGCAGGCCTTAAATGAGAGACCGTCCTGCCTCAGCCTGCGGCCATCGCAGAGGGGCTCCGGGCTGTGGGGACTTGGCTGGGGCCCCACCTCACCTCCTTGCCTCCCATGGCCTCGAACATCTTCTCGAGCTGCACGCGGAGCTGCTGGGTGTTGTTCATGAGGATGCAGGGCTGGGGAGAGAGGAAGTGCTGGGACACCCACTGGGGCCGGTGAGAGGTGGGGCAGGTCTGGGCGGGTCCCCGAGATACACAGGAGTGCCTGGGCTCAGGTGCCGGGGTGCACGGGGACAGGAGGACTTAAGCCATTTTCCGGGGGCCCTGGGCCTGGTGGGTGGGTGGGGTCCTGGGGCAGCCCGTGTCCTCGTCCCCACCCTGCTCTCCTACATGGCCCGAGCTCTGAGGGGCTCCCTGGCAGCCACCACAACACACGGAAGGCCCCTGCCCTCACCCACCGTGCACGCAAACACCGGGACCCACGCCCAGCCAATCACACAAACAGCAGGTGACACAATCGGTACACAGCAGCGCGCACGCACGCACGCACGGACAGACACCCTCTCACACGGGACACGAGCGGGGCCCTGGGGGTGCGGGGTGGGGCGGGGCAGGGCAGCAGGGGCGCCCGCAGGTCCCCACTTTCTCCTTCTCCTTGGAGCAGTAGGAGGCGAAGTCCTTGGAGATGATGTCGGCGTACTGGAGGAGCACGTTGCTGATGGTCTGAGGGACACGGGGGTGGGAGGAGGGGGGCCTGGTCACCGGGGAGGCCCTGGGCAGAGGTCCCATGGTTCACCCAGTGTCCCCGCCCGAGGTAGCCCTGACCCTGGCCGCCCATCTCAGAAGCCGGCATCAGCCACTGCTGCCCTCGGCCCCACTCCAAGCCCGGCCCGGCCCTGCCTGCACCCCACACCTTGGCAAAGCGCCCCATGTAGTGCCCCACAATCTGGGGGTCAGGGCACTCCAGCTTCTTGATGATCTCAAAGCTCTGGTTGAGCTGGGAGAAGACGTCCACCACGGAGCAGGAGAACAGGGCGTGCTCTGAGGTCTGCTGGAACTGGGGTGGACATCGGGGTGGGGATGGGGTCAGGGCCACAGGCGGCACCCAGCCTGCTGCGCTGCACACGGACGCCTGGACCCCAGCGCCCCGGTGGGGGCAGAGGACAAGGTGACTTAGAGGTGCACGTGAAGGCGACGGGTACAGGGGTCAGGCCTGATGAGGGGAACAAAAGACAAAGCCACGAGCAAGACCAAGATGGTGACACTCAGGGGACGGGCTCTCCTGTGGGCAGGCTCTGCCCTCACACCGTCCCGGGAGCCGCAGAAGCGGTCTCAGGGAGCACATGGGACCTGCTCACGGTCAGCATCTCACCCCATCCTTCTTGTCACGTTCCAGGGCGCCGTGCAGGAAGTCCCGGGACACCTCCTCGTTCTCGTCCAGCCACTGGATGACGAAGGGCTCGAACCACCTGAAACGGACCGCCAGGCTGTGACCCGCCTGCCTAGCTCTGACCCAGGACTGGCGGTGCTGGTCGCGCTCCGCTGCACGCCCCCACCCCAGCCTTGGTGGTTCCAGCTGTGCAGTGCACCGAGTGGCCTGCAGATGCCCTGGTTCCCATAAGGGCACTGGGTTTTCCCACCGTACAGTCCGGCCTCTGCATCCCTGGGTTCCCCATCCATGGGCTCAGCCAACCACAGATCACAAATATTTGAGAAAACTGCCTGTGTTGGAACATGCGGACTTTTTTCTTGTCAGGACCCCCTGAACTGGACGGTGATGCTGTCCTGGGGCCCTACCCGCTCGGGGAGGACTCCAGGCTACAGGACGGTGTGCACGGTTTTGTGCAAGCACTGCCACTGCGCGGAAGGGACTTGCACATCTCGGACTGCGGTACCCACGGGGCTTCCTGGAACTGTCCCGTGGACACAGAGATCGGCGGTACCACCGGACAGCGCCTGGCCCAGCACGCAGGAGGCCTCAGTAACCTTCACCCAGGCTCGGGCGCTGGCTCCGTCACAAGCCTTACTGTAGCCAAGTTCCTTGGTACTGTGTGTGTGGTACTGGCGATGCTCCAGGGCCTTCACACTGAGCTACAGGCCAGCCCGTTGTGTTTTTTATCTTGAGATAGGGTCTCCCAAGTTGTTAGATTGCCCAGGCTGGGCTGGAACTTGTGATGCTCCTGCCTCAGCCTCCTGAGTGGCTGGGATTAGAGGCACGCACCACCATGTCCAGCTCGATACCTCTTTGCCCACCATTTCCTCATCTGTGACACGGAGGTCATAACACTGTCACCTCACCTCGCAGGACATGAGCAGGGGCAACAGAGAAAGCGCACATGGCTGGGTGCACCCTGCGCCGGGCCCCTGTGGCCGTGACTCTCCTGGGCTCCTGGAGTCCGGTTGGATGCCTGGACTCGAGGACACCGGGCTGGAGTCCCACGTGGGCCCCCGGGCAGGCCCACCGTCTGTGTGGCGTGGCGTGGCCGGGAGGACTTACGCGGGGTACTCAGGCACGCAGTCCGTGAAGGCGGGCAGCTCGGCCACGTACTCGTTGTAGAGCCACTTGACCTTGAAGTGCAGGTTCATGTAGTCGGCGCTCTTGCACAGGCGGTGCTTGTCGTGCTCTGGGGGGAAGAACAGGGCTCGGCCTCCGCTACGCCTCTGCTGGGGGGCGCACCGAGGAAGGGGCCTCACTGCGGGCTGGGGCGCAGGGCCCCGTGCTCACCCTCCATGGCGTACTTCATGTCTTGGGCAAACAGATTCCACATCACCTCGGCGCTGATCTTTCCCACGTTCAGCTCCTGGGGGAACCTGGCAGAGGCCACATTAACATGGGCTTCAGCAGACAGCAGCCACGGCGTGGGCTGCCGAGTCCTCCCTGCTCCAGCGGGCAGCACGGGGGCCGTGTTCAGGTCCCTCAGGGCCACGGATATTCCGAGCAGCTGCCTGAGGCCTTGCTTCTCACGAGGCCCCACCCACCCACTCACCTCTCCCCCAACCATCCGTCCACACACCCACCGTCCAGTCCATCTATTTAAATCTCTGATCACAATTCCATATCTAAGTAGCCAGAAGATAGGAAAACTCCAAACTCAGGGGCCTCTCTAGTGCTTGCGTCAGACAGAAATAAAACACCATAGCTCATTCAGCTAACACAGCGATACATAAACCCACTAACAGAAACTGTGCCCACACACGCACACACGAAAGTGCTGTATGCTGTATAACACTGTGTTGTATGATACTGTATATTAAAGTGCATCGCACAGTTATATACAATTAAACCTATGGATTGCAACCACGCATAACATTATATACACCCCCCATGTCTGCTAAAACAATTTAAATGTAAAACATTTGGTGAAGGAGTCCATAGAAAATACTTGAGCACCACTGCTGTTGTTTATGAACCTACACACGCACACAAATCACACAGATATATGCTATTTATACAATCACACACACACACGTATATAAAATACTTATTTAATTTCACCAGTGATTGTGTATGTATACACAATTTTATTATGTTTGCCAAATCTGAATTTCACACACAGGTACTGAAGCAAAACTTGAAAGAGAATCAGGTTTATAAATGGTTTCTTCTAGCCCCACACAGTTCCCCTCTTAGATTTCTCCTGCCTGAAACTGTTGACCTCTATGACAGATAAGGTAAGTACAAAATTCTTAAAAACAGTCTTGTGATGTCCTGGTTTCTTAGGAATCTGACTTCCTTCAAGGCTGATCTCTGCCCTCGAACTGATAATGTAGACAGTTAAATCCCTGTAAATGGAGTCCTGTGGCTATTTTCTCTCAAGAAATACAGGTAAGGGCCAGCGATTCAGCTCAGCGGTTATGCTGCCTGCCTTGCAAGCACAAGGTCCCGAGCGTTTGAACCCCGGGTACCAAAAAAAGAAAAATGAAATACAGATAAGGTTGACAACTGTGTTCCTATAAACAGAATCTTATGACATCCTAAAATTCCTGATAACCATTTTTCAAGGCTAAGATGTAAATATGTCACTGAGTGAATAACTGCCTTTGTCCTGTTTCATGCCAACCCCTTTGACAAATGTGTAAATATTAGAGCTTTTCCTTTGTTCAGGGCTCTGTCTTTTTAGACAGGAGCCCCACTGAGATAAATAAATCCTCCTGTTCCCCAATGGTTTCTCCTGTCTCTTGAATTCTACAATAGTACAACACACTACAAATGTTCCCATATACACATTGCATGTGCAATTAAACACAAACTTCTCTATTTGTGAGACACAAATTTGTACACACACACACACACACACACACACACACACACACACACACAGATGACGACCCTGATAATTAACTCCACAGACCCACAACTCACTGGTTGAGACAGGGAGTGTAGGAGTTCTTGTCTTCCTCGATGATGGACACTATGAGGGTGATCAGCTTGGACCAGAAGTCGAGGTTCTTGATGCTGGGGCCCTGCTCCTCTGGGGGGACCTCCCCCTTCTTAGCCTGGAGGGGCAGTGTGGAAGTTGGGAAGAGGAACAGGGCTTGGCCAGGTCGTGACTGAGGGGCAGGAGGTTGCTGAGGAGGGGCCCTGTTGACGTGTGACTGGCTCAGGTAGGAAGCTGTAGGCTTGTAGGCCTGGCCCAAACCCAGCTCCACACAGGGGATGAGTTTTACACTCAGCCCAAAAACGGAATGGAAAAACACGGATAAACTAAATTTGAACAAAACCCAATCCGAGGAGACCAAGTGGAACCAGACTGAAGGCAACTCCAGCCCACGGAGGCTAATAGAAGGTCTCCCGTGCGGACACAGTGGGGAGGAACACAGGCCACCTGAACCAGACCGAGTGCAGCACACATGAGTCCAGTGGGTTGGACCTGACCAGCTTGTCCAAGACCAACACCAACATACTGGAAACAAATCTCCTAGACCTGAGCCCGCCCCAACCTCATGCAGCTCAATCTGACTCAAATCTGGTCAACCCAATGCAACGCCACCCTTCTTAACCCAACCTAAATGCTTGGGCCAGCCGAGGGTGGCTTCAAGATGAAATGAGTGGAACCTTCTTGTTACAGCGCAGGTACAGATTTCCCCGGAAGGCCCTGGTATTCAGAGCTGGGCCTGCGGTAGGTGCTTAGGTCATGGGACCTGCACTCATGGGGGGATTCAGCCACTGAGGAGTTCAGAGCGGAATCTGTGCACAGGCAGGGCTGGCAGGGTGAATTCCTGTCCTCAGCCCATCCTTCTGGTCCCCTCCTGGCCGCCATGGTGTGAGCAGCCTCTGCACCAGACCCTCGAACAATGACCTTTCTGCCTTGGAGCCACGGACTATGAGCTGAATCCTCCAAAAATCATCAGCCAAATAAATCTCTCTTTCTAGGAGTGGTGGGTGTTGGGTGCCAGGTCCCAGCACCGGGACTGTAACAGACACCACTGAAATGAGCCCCGCTGGGCTTGGCGCAAGTGAGACCAACCGCTTCGCAACTCGGCTCGTCCTAACTCAACTGCATTCAACGCAGTGAGAACAAGCTGAGGAGACACGGAGTTACTCTGGGGTGGGGAGGGAAACGAGCGAACAGAAATGAGCGAGCGGATTCACACTCAGACTCAACCCAGTCCAACTTAGCTCCGACTACTAATTTGCCAAGAACACTTTTCACGGAAGCCGAGCAAGGAGAAATACATGGAACTACACAGATGATAGACAAACTCACCCTGACCTGGACTTGGGGCTCGGGGGCCCACTTTTACAGAAGACACTGATGCTCCCAGCGGTGGAGCCTGTCGGAGGGGCAGAGCCGGTACCCCACCCCCTGCGCCCCAGCAGGGCCTCACCGGGTCTGTCTGGTACTCTCGGCTGTAGAGCTCGTGACAGTTGTTGAAGATGTACTCGTACGTCGAGTTGAGGCAGGCTTTCACGCAGTCCTTCACCACCTGGCTGGCCCGGGGTGGGCTCTGCAGCTCCTGGACCTGTGAGGGAGGAGACTGCGTGGTGGGCACAGGGCTGGCAAGATGCACCCAGGAGGGGCGGCACGTTTAGGACGAAGGAGATGTTGGCGTGGAGGTTGAAGCCACAGAGAGAGATCTCCTCCCGCAGTGAGAACGGCCATGGCCCCAAAGACCAAAGATACCAAAAGCTGGCAAGGAGACGCGGCACTGTGGACAGGGTACAAATTAGTACCACCACAGTGGGCCGCAGCATGGAGGCGCCTCAAGAAAACCACACGCACGCTGCCTCTTGGTCTGGCCATGAGGTCCATGGGTCTATATCCAGGGACCTCAGTGAGGTGGAGAGACTCCTATGCCCCGCATTAGCCGGGGGACAGGGCAAGCTGTGTCCATCGAGAAAATGTGGTAGCTCTACACGAAGGAATACCAGTCAGCCAAGAAAAAGAGTGAATTTGTATCATTTGAGACAACATGGATGGAATTGGAGATCACTATGGCTTTTGTGGTTGAATGGCTGGTGTTTTGAGATGGGTCTTGCTACATAGTCTAGGCTGGTCCTGAACTCATGATCTTCCTGCCTCAGCCTCCTGAGTTTTGGAATTACAGGCATGCACCACCAAGCCTGGACAGAGATCATGACATTAAGTGAAATCAGCCAAGCGCACAGAGATAAGCACTGCACGACTGCACTCGCAGGTGAAATCTACCAACGCTGATCTCACAGAAATGAGGTAGCGTGACAGTCACGGAGGCTGGGGACAGAGGGATGGGAGTGATCAACCAAGATGCAGCTAGGAGCAAGGCGTCTGGGCGCTGCTGCACAGGTGGTGATAACAGATAACAGTAACGCAATGTGCACCGCAAACAGCTGGAAGAGCTGGGCACGGTGATGCACACCTGGAATCCCAGTGGTCTGGGAGACTGAGGCAGGAGGATCCCAAGTTTGAGCCCAGCCTGGGTAACCAGGTGACTTAGCAAGATCTCATCTCAAAAACTCAAAAAAAAAAAAAAAGTGTGAGTGTGTGAGTGTGTGTGTGTGTGTGTGTACTGGGGATGTAGCTTAGTGCAAAGGACCCTGGTTGAATCCCCAGTAACATACATACACACACACACACAAAGCTGGAAAAAGGGTTGTGAAAGCATTCACCACAAGGTAGTGATAAATGTTTGACCTGATTTAAACACCACACGACATAGTTTCATCTGTACTGAATGTTACATTGTATCTGTTAATGTGTTTTATGTATCAGTTAAAAACAAAACAAGCCTGTAATGTAGCTCAGTGGCACCTCGCCTGCCTGACAAGTGTAAGGTGCTGCATTCGATCCCTGGTACAACAAACAAACAAACACCCAGGAAAAAAAACCCCAAACCGAACCCTAAGGAAAGGCGGAAGTGGGCTCCCGGCCCTCCTACCTTCATCCGGAAGAACGTGATGCTGGTGAGAAGGTCCACAGTGGATTTGAGGTCTTGGAGCCTCTCCGGGCTGCTGGCTGGGAAGTTGTTCTGTTGGGAGTGAAAGGAGAGCTGGGTTACAGTGTCCCCGGTCCACTGCGGGTGTCATCCCAGCACCCCGGGAGGCTGAGGCAGGAGGATGCAAGTGTGGGCTGAGCCTGGGAAGTCAGCGACTTAATAAGCTGGGGCTGGGACTGAAGGCGAAGGCCCTGGGCTCCGCCCCGCACGGGAAGCAGGTGTGAAAGGAGGGGAAAAGGCAGCCTGGGGGGCAGTGAGGGTCCCCCAAGCTGCAGGAGGGGCCGGGCCTCAGCAGTTTCTCACGCGGTACATGGAGAGGTCGATCCGCAGCGAGTTGTGCAGCTGGTCCAGGAGCTTCACGAAGCGCTCTTTCTGAGGAGGCGGGAGGACAGTGTCGATGGGGCTCGCGGCCAGAGAGGGGCGGGTCGGGGGCTGGGCGGGGTCCCCTCCCCCGGGGCCGGGACTGACCCCGAAGTTGGAGGCAGCGAAGCGGTCGGAGGCAGACACATTGGTGGAGGCGGTGGTGTGCGCGTAGTAGGCGTTGATGTTGGCGAGCAGGGTGCTCATGACGGCGGGCACCCCGGGACACATGTACTTGGAGGACAGGCAGGCGAAGTGGCTGCGAGAGGGGCACAGATGTGCCGAACTCCGCCCAAGTCCCCGCTGCCTCTGTCGGGCCCCTCGCTAGTCTGGGAAGCGAGCCAACCTCCCACTATTTAAGGGGCCCAGCTGGCCAACCACGCCCCGACCTCCTCACCAGGCCACGCCCCAACATCAGGCCATGCCCCGACCTTCTGGCCACGCCCCACGCCGCCACGCCCCTCCCACTTCCGGGGCGGGGCATGCCCGGAACTACCCCTGCCCTGCCTGCAGCCTCACGTCATGGCTTGGTAGATGGACTCCACTCCGTAGCGCATGGCGAACTCGTCCACGATCTCCTGGGCCGTCTCGTCGTAGTAAACCTTCCACGCATCATCCCCCTTGGCGTCCGGGATCTTCACGACGCCATTGTTCTGCATGTCCGTCACGAAGTGGAAGAGGTTCTGCGTGCGGGGAGAGGGCTCGTACGGAGGCCAAAGAGGGCGCCTGGGCACCTCCCACCGTGCACCCCGCCACCCTGAGCTTCGCCTGGCCACCGACCCGGTCAGTCAGCCGCACGCGCACGCAGGTGTCTGCCCGCCCGTCCACCTGCTCCTTCGCCTGTCACCGCCACCCGCCCAACTACCCCAAGCGCACCCCTGTCCCTCCAGCACTTCAGGCCCCCCGC